AGACAAGTATCAGATGATTTCACTCATATGTGGAGTATAAGAACAAAGGAAAAACTGAAGGAACAAAAGAGCAGCAGACTCACAGCACCCAAGAATGGACTAACAGTTACCAAAGGGAAAGGGAGTAGGGAGGATGGGTGGGAAGGGAGGGAGAAGGGAGAAAAAGGGGCATTACGATTAGCACACATAATGTAATGAGGGGCGTACATGGGAAGGCAGTATAGCACAGAGAAGACAAGTAGTGATTCTATAGCATCTTACTATGCTGATGGACAGTGACTGTAATGGGGTATGTTGGGGGGAGTTGATAATAGGAGGAGTCAAGTAACCATAATGTTCAAGTAATTGTAAATTAATGATACCAAAATAAAAAATAAAAAAAGTAGTAGGACAATAGCCAACATACAAAAATCAGTTGTAGATATATACACTACCAATGAACAACCTAAAAAGGAAATTACAAAAGCAGTTCATTACAGGAGCATCAAAGAGACTAAAATAACCAACGAAGTGAAAGACATCTACAATGAAAAGTACAAAACATTGCAGAAAGAAATTGAAGACAAACACATGAAAACACATCTCACATTCATGGATTGGAAGTCGTGATATTGCTAATATGTCAATACTACCCAAAGCAATCTAAGAGTCAATCTACTCTCAAAATTGCAATGACTTTTTTTTCTGATTGTAAGAGAGTGTAATTAGTATGAAACACAAGGGACCCCTGAAGAGCCAAGACAATCTTGAGAGACAAAATTGAAGGACTCACACTAACTGATTTCAAAAGTCAAACATCAGAATAGTGTGGTATTGGCATAATGACAAGCAGATAGGGCAGTGGAATAGAACAGAGACCCCAAAAGTAAACCCTTGCATATGTGGTCAGATGATTTTTGGGTGCCAGGATCACTCAATGGGGAATGACAGTTTTTCCAACAAGTGGTGCCAGGAAAACTGGATATCGACATGCAAAAGAAAGGATCTTTTCCTAACACAACGTACAAAATTAACTCAAAGTTGATCAAAAACCTAAATGTAAGACCTCAAATAATATAACCCTTAGAAGAAAAAATTGGAGAAAAGCTTTATGACATTGGATTTGGCAATGATTTCTTGGACATAACACCAGAGGCATAACAGGCAACAAAAGAAAAAAGATAAATTTGACTTCATGAAAATGAAAATTTTATACATCAAAAGGCACTATGCCCGGTGTAAAAAAGAAACCCAACAGAATGAGAGAAAATATTTGAAGATCATATGTCTGATAAGGGATTAATATCCAGACTATATGGATGACTTCTACAACAGCCAATTCAAAGTAAAGGACTTTAGTCATTTCTCCAAAGAAGATACACAAATGGAAATAAGCACATAAGAAGATACTCAACATGACAATCATTAGGGAAATGCAAATCAAAACTACAATGAGATACCACTGTATACCCATTAGGATGGCTACTATCAAAAAAAAACAAACCCCAAACCCCAGCAAGTGTTTATAGGATGTGGAGACATTGAAGCCCTTGTGTACTCTTGGTGTAAGTGTAAAATGCTACTGCTGCTGTGGAAAACTGTATGCTGGTTTAGCAAAAAATTAGAAGTAGAATTTGTGTATGGAAAATGGAATCCTATATGTTCAGCAATTTCACTTCTGGGTATAAACCCAAAAGAATTGAAAACAGGGTCTCCAAGAAACAGTTGTACAACCCTGTTCATAGCATGTTTCACAGTAGCTAAAATATGATAGCAAAATATAAATTTTTATATGATATAGTGTCCCTGGAATAATACAGATTGATGAATGGATGATCTAAATGTGGTCTGTACATATAATGGAATGTTATTCAGCTTTAAAAAGGAAGAAAACTCTGCGGTATACTACAAAATGGATAAACCTTGAGGACATTATGCTAAATGAAATGAACTAGTCATGAAAAGACAAATACTGTATGATTCCACTTATGAGGTCCCTTGAGAAGTCAAAATTATAGACAGAAAGTAGAATGGTTGTTAACAGGGGTTGGAGGAAGTGGAGAATGAGAAATTATTATTTAATGGGTGTGGAGTTTTAATTTTACAAGATTAAAGTGTTATGGGGTGATGGTTGCACAGCAATATGAATGTATTTAATGCCACTGAACTGTACATTTAAAAATGCTTAAGATGGGAAACTATGTTATGTGTAATTTACTAAAAAAAAAAAACAACCAAAAAACCCTGCAGGAAACATTTTTCTTAAAGGGACACTAAATGCATTCTCTGCAGGGTTAGGAACAGATGGTGGTAGTCAGTGTCACTATGCAAAATATATTGGAAATCCTGGACTGCATGGGAAGAAATAGAAATAAGAATGTCTTAGTTCAGGCTACTATTACAAAATATCATAGCCTAGGTGGCTTCAACAACACACATAATCTCACCAGAGCCTGGAATTCCAGGGTCACAGTGCCAGTGTGTTGGCCTCTCAGTGAGGGCCGTCCCCCTGGGCAGGGCCTGCCTTGGTATGTGCTGGCAGAGAGCTCCCCCCTCTCCCTCTCCTCATAAGGGCCCCAATCTTCCCATGGGGGCTCCACCCTCATGACCCCACCTCAACCTGATTCCCTCCCAAAGGCCCCCTCTCCAAACACCATCACATTGGGGGTATGGCTTCAACATAAACACTTACGAGGGATACAGACACAAATATTCAGTCCATCGCAGAGAGAAGGAGGGTGTGAAAGGAAATGATAAAACTGTCATAATTTGCAGGTCATTTAACCACCTACCTAGAAAAAACAAGCCTAAATAGACTGTTAAGATTAATATGGGTTCACTAAGGTGCTAGGCACAAGAAGAACACCATAGTCAGGTTCTCACCGTGAAAAGCAGTGGGCCAGGTTGCGTGCCCAGTGACACTGGGGTCTGAAAGAGCATGGTGGCAATTGTGCCAGGAGTGAACTGAGGCGGAAGGAGCAGGGTGCTTGCCAGAGAGAGGGTGGGGCTTCTCTGCTGAGATCCCAGGAGGTCTAGCCACAGCCAGGAAGACACAGAATAAATATGAGGCCCCTGGTACCCCTCACCCAGAAACCTCAAGTGTCTCACCTTTCAAAAATCAAAGCCTGCTTCCCCCTGCGTTCCACCTTCCACCCATGCCATGAGATTGTGAGCAAGTGACTTTGGTCTCTGGGCTTCCACTTCCTTATCTGTAAAGTGGGGACCATCACAATAACCACCTCCCAGGGATGGGGTGGGTTAGATATGACAATAATGGAGACTCAGTGACACATGGATGAGGATAACTTTGTTACTAAGGTGATTAAAGAGTTCCCTTCCCCCCCACACAAATGCACCCCAACACCAGGGTCCAGGACAGCCAGGCCAGCCTGCTTGCTGCCTCCCAGTTTCCAGCTCCATCAAGGGTTAAGGAGTTTGGCTGCCTGCCTAGAGCAGGAATAAAGTCGGCCCAGCCGCTTCTGCCTATCTGGGAGCAATCTCTCCCACCCCCAGCTTGGGCCTTCGGAAATGAAAGCCCCTGCAGGCTGAAGCTCCTCTGCTGGCTGCATCACAATGACGTTCCCTGGCTGGGAGATTGTGGTGGGCCCTCTGCTCCGGGCTCTCTCTGGCGGGCTGGCTTGCTTCCCGAGGTCTGGGGGGGCTGTAGGGACCCAGGAGCTGCTCTGGAGCTGTCGTCTTGCATGTAGGAGAGGGATTGGGTCACTCTGGCTCCTGGCCCTGGATGGTTGGAGGAAAGAGAAATGGACATGTGAGCTGGGAGGGGTCCTGGAGCTGGGGTTGCTTACAGGTTGGGGAGCATCCCCTTGCTGTGCTCTGACCATTCTGGATCTCAGAGAACCAATCCATCCTGCCTCAGGCCTGCGGGTTACAACCCATTAGTGAGCTGTGAAATCCATTTAGTGGGTTTTGATCTACATTTTTTAAAAGAGAACTGGAATAGAAAATAGAATGCATTGCATATAATAATTCAGCAAGCTTTATTTCAGTCACCTGGAGTGTAGTGGTTAAAACCATAAACCCTGGAGACCCCCTGCGCATCCACAGACCCTGGGCATCCGTTTAACCTCCTGGGCCTCAGTCTCCTTTTCTGTCCACAGGAAGACCAGCACCCACATCATTGGTTATTGCGAGGAACGAAGGAGTGACACGGAAGAGCAGAGAGCATGGGCCCACAGTGAGTTTTGGCTCCTTTCCTGTCCTCATGTGCAAAATGTCTTCCCTGGAAGAGGCATCACAGGGTCTTGAAAGCCACTGGATCTGAGGACTGGGTGCAGGACCTGCTTACAGTGAGAACATGGAGAGCAGCTTCGGGCAGGGGTGCTTCTCTGGGCAGATTAGGATCCTGAGAGGTGAAGGAGAAGCCAGAGGCGGATCTGCAGGTCCCCAGCCCTCCACAACCCAGAATCCCCTCTGGCGTCCCTCACCCCATGGCCGTGGCCACTGGGGTCACTGTGGAGACTCAGGGGGGAGGGCATTTCCGGTACCTGGTGGTTACTGGCCTGACTTTGGGTACTGAACCAAGCAGGCCCCTCAGGCCCACCCCAACAGGGGTCTCCTTTTTGGGGAACAGAGGGTATGGAAATGATGAAAGTTCCCCCAATTTCTCAACAA